CCTAAATAAATATTATTCTAACTTGATACAAAATTGTAAGATTTAGAAACAAATCATTCTCATTTGGCAAAAGCACCGTACTACTAATATTGTGCAAAAATTTCTCCTGTTCAAAGCATATTTGGAAAGTTTTGCCATACTAGAGCAGTCAAACGCGTCACCTGACTTAACGTATTCAGTCCCGTCAACAATACTGACGCCACTGGTGTCCACGGCAGCAAAGTGGAAGAGTTTCATGCCACGTGACTTGATTCGGTTGAGTCCCGTCACATAAGTTGACGGCACCATTCGCGTCAAATAAGTTGACGCCATGTAATCGCGTCGCACAAAGTGACGGCATTACTACCGTCTACTAAATAGACGCCACGTGTAAGTCGCGTCATATACATTGACGATTATTCTCTTCTCTTATACACACCACAACACCTTCTCCCTATGCGTTTTTATTTTTGCACATTCTCTCTCTAAAAACTTCTCTCACTCTCTCTGAAATATTTCTCTTCCTTCTCTCTAAATTCCTCTCCTTCTCTCTCTAGCCAAAGGTTGCCGCGGACTCTCTTCTATATGCTTTTGCCTCCCGTTCGTGCAGCTGCCCAGGTATGTTGTAGTGTTTTATTTATTTTAATTGTCTTTTAATTTTTGTTATTTGATTTAGTTATTAGTTATTACATTATTTGATAGGAATAAAAACCCTAGGTTAAATTTTCATTTAATAAATTCCTAGTGTAGAATATAATTTTAATTAAATAGTAATTATACCCTAAGATGGAAATCATATTATTAAGTAGTAATTAAATTATTAAATAGTAATAATTATAATTAGTATATAATTAATGTTTTAATTAAATATTAAATATAAATTATGGTACCATAGTATAAAAACCTATTTAATAAGGAAATTAATTAGTAATGAAATAGTTAAATAATAATTATACTTACTGTTTTAAGTAAATAAAAATTATAATTAAAGAAAGCCTAGGATGCAAAACATATTTAAGAAAATAATGAAGTAATAATTAAATAATAAAATGATAATTATAATTAATATTTTAATTAAATATTAACCCTAAGATAGAAAACTATTTACTAAAATAATTAATTAGTAATGCAATAATTACTTAGTGATTATAATTAGTGTTTTAACTAAATAATTAAAATTGCTCCCAACATGACGAAGGCAAAACACATGGTACGCTTTAGGAGGTTGCTAACCGATGACCTCATTGGCGACTATTGATATAATTCCTTTGCGTCGACCCGAAATAAGACATATACCAGTCTTATTGATAACATACAGTCGGATGGATGCCAAAAAATACTCCCAGGCTTCCTTGCTTTCACTTTCAACAACTGCAAAAGCAATTGGCAGTACCTCATTATTTCCATCTTGGGCTATGGCAATCAATAATGTTCCTTTATATTTACCATACAGATGCGTACCATCCACCTGTTGGCTTGCACCATTTGAACGCCTCACGACATTGACTGAAAGTCCAAAAAACACATTGAAAAACCCGAACCCCATTAACAACCTGTCAATTGATAACATACAGTTCATCTTGAATATGACAAACAGATCCCGGGGAAAATTTAACCATGTGCATGAACCATCTTGGCAAGAACACATATGACTCGTCCTAATCACCGTAAATATTAGCGATTGCTTTTTGTTTTGCCTTCCATGCCTTCGTGTAAGAAACATGAAAACCAAAGAGACCAGTAACCCATTCTTATATCATGATCACGGGTACCGAAGGTGATGTTTGGACCATGTCTTCTGCCACAATCGGTACATGTGTACATTAGGAATAATATTTACGTTCTCTTATAAACTCAGATAATAATGAAAAATAATAGTTAAAGAATACGTAGTACCTATTATGGCCTGAGAAATAAATTCAGAATCAAGCTGTCTGTGATCTTGGGAGAGGATTTTGCTCACACAACTATGTTTACCAACCCATTTACTAACCACCCAGGTGCTGCTATTTTTCGGTTTAATTGCTCTTACTCATCAATTGCAACCTTGTTCATGGTTCAGACATTTCATAGACAACTTTGTCGTAGTACTCTCAACTATTATAGCTTCTTGATGTTCCTTCATTCATTAATGTTTTATGGCATCTTGGACATCGCGTTTGGACTCGAACTCTTGTTTCACATACATTTCCTCTCCTCTTGTCCATGGACCACAACCTAATCCTTCGACATCTAGTATGTCTTTGTTCGAATAATCACAATTAACAGCCTCGTAGTGTGGAATGACGTTCCAAAATGGTGTCACATTTGCATATACAAACATAATAGGGCAGATGTGAAAACGTGAAAACGTGATAACTAATAAAAAATTACAAATTATTAACACAACTCACTAACTAACATGTTGGTGGTGTGCGATATTGGACATAAGGATACCAGTCTCGCATTCCATAGGATTATCATGATGTTCCTCACCTGCATCATTGTCATTCTAATCATGGTCATTTGTCAACAAAGTATCTTCATCTTCCTCTACTTCTTCCATGTTAGGTTCAACATCTACCATATAGTCGCTTTCTTCTCTATGTGCAACAGTTGATTGTGTGCGTTGTGGAACAGACGACAATACATAATGTGACTGACTCTTAAGATCCAGTCCACGAATCGGTATTGATAGATCCTCTGATGTCTCAATATCGACGTAAATTGAGATGTATTGTTTTCGACGAATGTTGTAAGGAAAACATATATGTCCTCATCATTAGATATTTCAATACTTGCATATTTGCGATTTCCACACGGGACTCTACCGGTAACTGAAGATATTACCTGATTTAGTTGCAATATCAACTTCTGTCGTATCTTCCCATATGGATCCACAACAGACATGCCTCGGACAATATACATTACTCTTTTTTCCCCTTCAAAACTTAAACCGCCTGCACTTATACTTTTACTACCATTGTAGTATACGAACGCACGAAATTGATCCATTGTAATAGTGTTTTTATACAAATAAAATACAAATTAATTCTTGATATTATGGCTTAAAATAGGCATGTGATTAATATAACATGATAAGATCCACAGGGTGACTATGAACTATATAAATCACAAATCGTAACTGATAAAATGTGAACCCAAAATAAGACAATAATGACAAAAAATACAAAGTAAAAAAAAAAACACATTCACAATACTACACTGAACAATCCAATGAACGACTAAGGGGGTATATATATACAAAATATGGGCTTCATATGTCTCAAAAAAAATTTCACACGTGCATGACTATTTCATTACCACGCTTGTCAATATACTTGCTTTCCTTTTAATTCACGGGTGAAACTATTTTGAATTCTATGCATACTTTGCTTTCCTTTTTATTTACTGGTGAAACTATTTTGGATTCTATGCATACGTTGCTTTCCCTTTTATTCACAGGCGTTCATGTGAGATTCCATGCAGTATGGTTCTTTTGTCTTTTTGCGTTGGTGGATTGAGTCCCGTCAATGAAAATGATGACAGTAGGTGATGAGTACCGTCACATTTTGTGACGCGATTAGCCACGTGGCGTCAACTTATGTGACGGGACTCAACCGAATCAAGCCATGTGGCATGAAACTCCTCCACTTTGCTGATGTGGACACCATTGACGTCAGTATTATTGACGGGACTGAATACGTCAAGTCAGGTTATACATTTGACTGCTCTAGTATAACAAAACTTTCCAAATGTGTTTTGAACCAGAGAAATTTTTGCACAATGTCTATAGTACTGTGCTTTTGCCTTCTCATTCATTATAAAGATCTAGGTTCACTGTAGTTTATATTTTAGCAAAAGTTGTTCCAACATAATCACAATTAACTGAAAACAAAAAATATTAGAAAATTATGGGAATTGAAAATATTTTTTAAAAAATCCAATAAGATTGCTGCATAATTTTTGGGCACGTAAAGATTTTATGTAATCAATCAGATTTGTTTTTCCCTTTCTCGTAATGTTAGTATCTTTATTATATTGATACTTCGGATTTTACGGATTATGATGATACAAATATACGCAAACAACAAGTACGATTATGATACATATAGAAAAACAGAGTTTTAAATTACGATTTGAAAAAATATATTTAATAATTAATTTTTTTTATTTATACTGCTAATTTTTATTCTTTATAATTATTATAATTAAGTAAGCATATATTTTTAATAATTTTGGTTCTTTGTAATTAAATATTAGTTATGATTTGAAAAGTATTTTATTTACCAATGTTGTTGTTGTTATTATTATTATTATTATGAACTATAAATTATAATTGTTACTCAATTATTTTACATTTTTTTTTTCTAATTTTGTTTGCTATTGAAGGATTGTTAGGTTTATAGGCCTAAACCAAATCTTTTGATGTTTAAATATAAACTAGGTCAAGCCTATAATGTTGCTAATACCAAATTAATAGGTAAAGTCAGTCTTAAAACATTTTGTATATACCTGGCCTATTTAGACTAAATCTAACTCGGATTAGCTCATTTACACTCCTAGTACCAATATATGTCAGTAATTTTGTTCTTTGACTATATTGGGTTTTTCCACACTCAATATACCAATTTGATATTGGGTGACAAGATTTTACCATTGGAGGGCATTTTGCTCCGCATAAGAATCCCAGTGGGTTTGAGTCTCGTCCCCAACGGAACATATTTTTGTTTTTGTTTTTTTTAAATGAAAAATGATAAAAATAGAGAGAGAAATAATTTTCTTGAAATATGTAATTTTTAAGTTAAAATTTTTATGTAATTTTTAAACAACTTTTAACTTTTTTTTTTAAGTTTAACTTATAAGTAGCTTCTAACTTAAAAATAAGGAGATTGATTGCAAGTACCTCGGTTTACACACCAAAAAATAAAATAAAATTGATTAACCGAATAAATGTGATTTTTGAAAGCTCTTATATTTACTGAAACTGCCCTTCCGCACTGTCGTCGTCTCTCTCTCTCTCTCTCTCTATATATGTATATTCCCATAAGAATCGGAAAAAAGAAAAAGAGAAAAATAATTCGGCACTCGAAAACATTTGATAGGAGGGGTTTAATCTAAGAGAAGGGGTTCTTGTTCGCTGAACTGAAAGTAAGTGCAGAGTGGTGGTGTCTGCAATGGTTTCTCTGTCAACATGGTTTCGCTACGTTGCTCACAAGTTCGAATACTCCGTCTCTCTTGGCTTGAAGGTCTTTTCCCTGTCCAGCTCCAACCCTCTCTTAAATTTCATTTTTTTTTAAAATAATAATTATTCATCACATACTTGTATTGTTGCTTATTATCACTACTAACCAGAATTGTGATGATTGTTGATTTTTTCTTTAATTTTTTTTTCATGAGTGGTTACTGGTTTCGAATTAAGATATAAATTGGTATCCAATTTATACGATTCGGGATCCCAATTATTATTTTCTTCTCTCATTTTAATGCTTGGATTCATTGGAAAAACTATTCTTTTGGTTGTTAATCATTTCATCTTTTGTTCCTCCAGTTCTTTTGATGACCTTATTTTTTATTCTGGGCTTTCTTTCCCCCCCACTATTTTATTATTATAAATTTGGTACCTTTTATTTATGTCCTTAGAATATTGACTACTTGAAGTTAAGATGATTTGTCTGAGGGAATATTTGAAGCCATAACTGTGTGAAAAAGACCATATTTAAAGCTTGGATATGAAAAGTGAGGTAGCTAACCTAGGTCCTGCCTTTGTTTTTGCTATAAAATAGAACCTCAATGTGAGACATTTGGAAGAATTGGGAAGTTATCAACTAAGCAGAGGTATTTAAAGTAACAGGTTTTGTTCTGTCCTAGAGTCAGGTTTAAGACACATGGTGTAGCTGCAAAGGCATTCTGCTCAAGTTAGGGTTTGCCCTAGTGAAGCACAAGTGTCAATGATGCATATGTGAGTGGCTTAATCCTTTTATATTGAGGTGTGGTTGTTTGAAGCAATCCATCTGAGATTCGGTTCCCTTTTATTGGGGATTGATTGATATCATAAAGGGATTCTATCCCTTTATCCCCTATTTCCTGTCTATTGAGATTCGGTCAGCCCTCTAGAGACTGCTATCATGTATGGGGCTAGAAAGGGTTTTGTTGTCCCCGGGATCCACCGGCCTTTCAGCCGAGGGCCCATTGGCCTGGTAAGCGGGATCCGAATCCCAGTCCAGAATAGGTTTCCTAGTCGTTTAAGTTTTACAGTTGAGCAAAACTGCAAATATTATTTCTTTTCACTTTATTTTGCATCAATGTATCAAAATATTAGCACTTAGCACTTAAAATCCCCTACGTTATAAGTCTTTTCTGACTGATTTAATGATGTGCAGAACTATGAAGGAGGTCAATTCACGAATAGAGAGTTACTACGTGACTTTGTTGGGAAGAATTTCTTTCAAGGAAAGTTGACATACTTGCACTGGAATAAAGGAGAGGAGATGGCCCCTACTATTGCTGGAAAAGGAGAAACGCTTCTTGTTCGGAAATTACCAACTGCAGATCCAGCGTAATCATATTCATTGTGCAGCATACACTTTGAGTTTTTTAAATTTAATAATTATTCCTAATGTGGGTTGGCTGAAATGGGCAATTTTATGCTGGAGAGGTGTCATTCTTCTGATATCACATATCCACTCCATGTCATAATCTTAATGTTGTCATATGACATCTTAAAACAGTACTTTTTTCGCATCTTGATTTCAACATTCAGTTTCATATTTTGTACCCTCTCTCTTAATAATTGACACATAGTAGTCAATTGCGCCGCAATAGCCGCACCTATTGCTCTTTGTGGCACTGCGCTGCACCAAAACGCAATAGCGGCTGTTGTGGCTGCAAGTCGCAGTCAAATCGCACCGCGTCAGTGCATAAGGGTTTTTTAATTCAAAAGGTTGAGTTTGCCCTCATTTTAAAAGTGTAACATAAACATTTTTAGGGTTTTTCGTCTTTTTTCCGGTTTAACCCTAACCCACTCCCTCTTACTGCTGCATGCAAGTCTCCCTTTCCTCTCTGTCTCTCGTGCGTCTGCCTCTCTCGCTCCATTGTCTCTGCCTCTCTCGTTTGCATGCTATCTGGCCTCTGTTTTTATTTAAAAAGAATATTTTATTATTTATCTTTGTATTGTTGTATTATTTACTTTTAAGCTCTCTGCGTCTCTCTCTTTGTCATTATCTTTGTGTTATAGACTGCTTAGAATTTCCTCAGTGCAAATTTTTTAACTGCATTTGTCTACATATACTTGTGATAATAAAATTGCATTTGTCCTGCATTTTCCTTTGTGACAGACCCAGAAATTATGTTTAGTGGGGACAAAGCCAATATATAAAAGCAAAATTACATAATTGAATTTCCATACACTAAATTCAGCACATGATCCATAGAAGTATTGGCACTGCTAAGACTAGTTATTAATAATGAGAACATAAGATAAAATGTTAAAATCAGAGGCAACAAAACTCAGTGGCTACTGGCTACCTTTTCACCTTTTTTTTTTGGGTGTCATTGTTTTTTTAATAATTTATTGTGTTACTTGTATTGAAGAATATTTTGTTACTTGTTGACGCTTCTGCCACTGTCCGTATCCTTGTTTTAATAGCATTCTTTGATTTTAATTTTTTTATTGACAGCAACAGAATAATACAGGTAACGGATTTTAGGATTTTTCTATTGATCTATTCCGTAACTGCAACCACAACCCGCTATAGCCCTATATCATTATTCAGGATTGTCTGCGACAGTTCGCATTTAATAACTTTGAATGGACATCAATAGGAAGAAAATAACCTCTGATGAGATTAGCTACTCCTATGTTTTGTTTTTAAATTTAACTCCTATGGAAATTTTGGAGGAAAATTGTTGTCATCATACAATTTTTCTTGAATATAAGATGCTATACATAATAAACTTTATCTGATTTTATTTGCCTATCTTACTATGTTGCTTTAATCATTCATTTTCTTCTCACCATCTATGTATAGACCAGTACTTTTTGACTACTTGCATGTCATACATTGGTATTGGTGAACTTTTAAAGTTGTTTAGAGTGTACAAGGGAAGAAGAAATGTACATGTCACATGCCATTTTCTCTTATGCTGAGTCTGTGTTATTAAGAGACATCATTTTCTCTGTATTAGTTCTTTGTACTTCTCTTCTTCAGCATTAGTGAATAGAAGATATATATAGTTCAGGCTGATGAAAGGAAACTATTTGTTTAATTTTTAAACTATGATTCTTTAATTCTTTGATGGATTCTTGGTTCTTCGTATTCTTTATCTCTTTTTGATTGTTTATTTTCTTCTTTGTGTCACTCTTGTGAACTAGTCTTTCTGAAAGCAATCTGACATGCATCAATTTCTAAATTCTCATTGAATATAGTTATTTGGTTTCGATTGACTTTATGTTATGGTTTCATAGTGGCACTAATTAACCATCTGTTTGTTTAGTTTGTGCTACCCACTTCATATGGTCCATATGATTTTAATATTCATGAAAATAAAACCTAGATCAGGTTGGATGCATCTTAACAAAAAGTATACTTTTGGCTGAATGATTCTATCTTTGTTATAATCCATTATGTTTTGCTTATTTGTTATTTTTTTAATGCATTATCAATAACGCCCCTTTTAGAGTTCACATAGTGTGTATTATGCAATGTTGTTAAGATCGTGAGAAAGAACGTAGGATTGTACAATCCTACAATTTTCTTGAACCCAGCAAGCTAAATCGCATGTGAGATTGCAAGAGACTTAGATCGTGTAGGATTGACGTGATAAATTGTGAAATCGGTGGGATCAGTTGATCCCATCATTCCAGCAATTGGGTGAAAAACCATACCAAAATTCATGTAACCATGTCCCGAATTCATTTAATCCCAAATTCCCAATTCTAAACCCTAACTCTCCTTACTTGCAATTGTGAGGCCGCATACAACTGCATCTTCTTCATCTTCTGCGTTTCTCTCCTGCGACTGGATTGTGTTTCTCTCCTTCTTTTGCCAATGGATTGAGTTGGGTTTTGCTACTATGATTGGCTTGTGCAAGTGCGACCCTCTCCTTCTTCTGCGACTAGTATGTCCATATGTGTCTGGGACTGGGTTATTTTTTGTTTCCTCTGCTTCTATCTTCGATTGCTTTCTTGTGAACTAGCAACCCGTGTCTTTGACATATGCCATGATTTGTTAATTTTTATAGCAACCCGTGTCTTCTATTCATGTGCAGCTGAATTATGGAGGTATTATTGATACAGCAATTTTTTTTGAAATAATAAATAGTACATCTCATAATAATCATTTGGAATATATTATAAGTACAACTCATTGCCATTCCTGTTATAGACATTATTTTAAATATTACAACTTGTAATAATGTTTTTGGAGTTTGTTGTCTTTTATATTTGCTATCTTTTATGATTAAAGTTGTGATTTAAATGTTATTTTATATGCATATGTATTATTTTATATAATTAAAATTAGGAATGCATGATCTTACGATCCTTGGCGATCTCACAATACCATATTTCGATCTTAGGTGAGATCTTGATCTTGACAACTATGGTTATAAGTATTGAAAATAGGTTGATAAGAAGTCACACCGTTATATTAGTCTTATGTTATAGTCACTCAATATAATGGAGTCTTTGTTGTGCTATTGACACATACAGATTTAAACATTTCCCCTTTTTGTCTCATTATTCCACAGGGTATGAGTGTACCATCCTCCCTAACCTGTCTTGTCACTTTTCCACTGCAAAATTCAAAACTTTATGTTAACTATCTCGTCAACCTTCTCTTATCAGTTTCTTCCGTTGCATCTCAGGTAAATTGTCCATAGTTGCATTTTGCTTTCTCATTATTTTTTATACTTTTTCCTTTGCTGACCACCGGATCTGGAGTGTCTCCTCAAATCCGATGCTTGCTGCATCTCCGGTCACCTGATTGACCTTCGGGCCACTGTCTGCATCTTCTCCGACAACTTTTCCAAAGAGTTTTCCGGCCAATGACCATCGTATCTGGGTTGCCTGGACGTGCTTTGGTTGGGTGTCCTAAGTTTTCTTTTGGTTGAATCCTCCAAATGTTGTTCTTGATGAACTTGGAGAAGTTTTAGTTCTTGTTGTGTATACTTGTTTACCAAGACGTGTTTGCTAATGGTCATTCTAGCGAAGTCTCTTCTTCCTTGGTTATGCAATATTTTTCAACCAACTCTTTGATGGTCGTTCCAGCCACCTGAGTTTCCTCTCCAGCATTTTTCATCTCTCCCATGTCTCCAGCATTCTTGAGTTAACTTTGCATCCGTGTTTTCGTGTAGCCCAAATATATTATTTGGTTAATTAGTAAGTTTTAACTTGAGGGGGAATATTAGAAGTATTGAAAATAGGTTGTTAAAAGTCTCATGTTGTTATATTAGTCTTATGTAATTATTATAGTTGCTTTATATAATAGGGTCTCTACTTTGTTATTGACGTACACAGATTTAAACATTGCCTCTCTTTTCCTTATCATTCAACATAGTGGTTTCCCGTAGATAAGTGGCCCATAAAGATTAATGCCTGTGAATGTTCTTGTTTAAGTAATTGTTCTTGAATGATTGGACAAATACTTAAAAATTTAATAGAGTTTATAACTGGCGGTCTTCGTTTTTGTTGTGACAAAATGAATGGCATGGTAAATTTGAGTTACCAGGTTAGTCGGAGTATCAACTATAAATTTGACTCTTTGTAAGTTAATAAAATTATCTCATTTTACAAAACTCCTACAATGTCTAAATTTGAGCGCTAGCTTACCCTGGTTTATCAGTTCCAAAGTTGAAAGTTGAAACCATTCGGTGGTTCTTACCTGTGACAAATTATATCTTGATTGTTGTGACGATCCATTTCAGTTATTTTTTTGCACTTACATATGCTATTTTTAAATATGGTAGCATCCTGTGGTGTGATAAACTTTGTACTTGTCACTGAGGTGGTTATATGTAGATTATTTTTATTTTATTTTTTTTGCTGATTTTTTTTTTTTTTTTTCTGGTTATCTTGTTGGTTCTTATGGTCTATGGATATTGGATGGTACCAAAAAAATAAAATAAAAAATAAAAAATAAAAAATAAAAAATACATAAATAAAAAGAACGAGTGGTCCTTGCTCCCTTTTATTTTTGTCATTTTTTTTTTAGATTTCCACAAAAATGTTAAACTGATGGTTGATTTTTTCATCTTAAGTTCATTACTCTATGCTTTCACATTGTAATTATTTGCTGGTGTTATACATGTTTCTTTGACAGGCACGTTTTTGTAGGAGATGTAGTGATCTTGAAGGATCCTGAGAAGACAGATAACTATCTAGTAAGAAGATTATCTGCCATTGAAGGTTATGAAATGGTTTCTACTAATGAGAAGGATGAACCCTTTGTTCTTGAGAAGGATCAATGCTGGGTAGTGGCTGACAATAAAAATTTGAAAGCCAAGGTAAACTGCTAACTTTTGTGGTAACGAATTTTATATATATGTGTGTGTGTGTGTGTGGAGCATATTCAATTGGCAGGAGTATCTTATTGTGAGAGTGAGAGGAGCAAATCCTGACCTTAGATCATTCACTTATAGTCAACATTAGGATATAAAATCGTGTAGTTTTTTTGGTGGTCATGCAACCTTCAAGTAATTTTTAATCTCCACCATATATGTGAGATTGGTCAAAGATTATTTCCTCTTACCTCTAATTATATATATGGCAAATACTAATCATTATATTTTCTTAGAAATTTTACCATTACCTCTGTCACTATTCAAAAAGCTTTATAATTTGTATTAATGTTGAAACAGAAACTTTATAGAGTAAAATTCAAGCAGTGTGATATCACATGCAAGCACTCTTTCTTTTAGTTTTGGATCCTGTTTTCCTCATTATCCTGTCTGCGATTCTATACAATTTGATAAAGCAAACACTCTTTCTTTTAGTTTTGGCACTTTAGTTCTCTCCCTACTTTTTATCACTGAAATCCACAAAAATGTCCATTAACAACAGAGTGAGAGTGGTGAGAAGAACTAGTGAAGTGATTCATAATAACTTTAATAGTCACAAAAGAAATCTCTATTTTTTTTTTTTTTTTTACCAATAATGATTTTTAGTGGCTAGCTCTTACATGTTTTTAGTGTTAAAGCTGCTCTTGTATGCATGAAAGGTTAGGAAATAACTTTTCTACAAAAATGTCAAAGTAAGGCTGTATATATGGATTTTCCTCATCTCTATCCTCGCAAATTAGGGTCTCATGGGGAGTTTTTTTTTTTTTGTCTTTTGACTCGATAAGAGAGCCTTAGCACAATTGTTAGTGTTGTTGCCATGTGACCCAGCAGTCACATGTTCGATTCTTGTAATTAGGCTCTTGTAAATACAATATAAGGCTGCCAGATATAAGACCCTTCCGTGGATCCTGTATAGAGCAAGAACTTTATAGCACCAAGTTGCTTTGGTTTTTTACTCCTTAAATGGTTGTAGAACATGGAATAATTCTTTGTAATATGGCAGGAAGCGAATGACAGTAGATCATTTGGTCCAGTTAACATGACAGATATTGTAGGCAGAGTCATATATTGCCTGCAAAATGCTGTAGAGCATGGCCGTGTGCTGAACAGGTGAACTAAATTTCTGAGCCTAATTTCGAATGCATGGGTGGATGGGTCCTTTGATTATTGATATATTCTACTCCTTTGCCAGTCATTTCAGCATGAGAAGGGATTCCCCGGTGTTGGCAGTGGAACTTGATGTTGATGAGATGTCCAAGAATCACAAAGCCTAGCATCTTGTTTGCTTTACATTCCTGTCAACAGCAAACAGCTTTTTGCCATGTTTCAAAATCCGAATCAAACAAGCTGTAAACTGTTGTTCAGACTAGCTCTAACTTGTTTGTTTGGTAGCTATGCATTACTTTCTTTTTCTTGCGAACTTTATTTGAAGTAGAGCAAGAATGAAGCAATTTTTTAATTTTTGCATGAGTATGGGATGGTGGTGTTATGATGTCCTTAGCTACATATTAAATTATTTGCTCTTTCTTTCCAACTGGAAAATTTGAAGCGGCCTGCATTAAAATTGGAGTAAAACATTGTTTCAGAAAAAAATTGTCGTATGCTGAATTTCTATCAAATATATATACTGTGCTTCTTTTTCTGTATGTAAAGGGAAAAATGTTTGTTCTTGACATAAATTGTGTTCTTTTAGTTTTTAATATTATATATTACGGATAATATATTGTTATAATATAAAAAAAAAAAAAAATTCTCTCTTTTCAGTCACATCATAGATGATATGGAGAGAGAGAAAAAAAATTTATTATAATTTTGTACTATTTGTAGTATATAATGTTAAAAATTAAAAGGACACAACTTGTGTTCTTTAAAAGGGCACACACTTAACTCATATATGATTCATTAAGTTCCAATCGTTGTTGATTAAATGGGGAATATTGAATTGGGATTTTAAAAGACTATTTTGAGATAAAAAATTTATAGATTTTAAAAGCTTATATAAATTGTAGTGATTTTAAAGACTTTTTTAAAATACTTTTTTTACAGTTAAGAGTTTATAATATGAAATTTTAATAGAATTTATAAGATTTGAAAGAACAATATTAGTTTATAAAATTTTAAAGAATCATATGAATTTTTAACAAACATTCAAATGTGATTTTTAAGAAAAATAATCAAATCAAAAATTTATATGCATAAAATTCATTAAACTTTGTGATATTTTTGCATGCTATTATTAGTGTGATGGAACATGTTATTCACATTTAAAATTTTTATTTCATTTTCATCAATATTTTTTAAAAATGTTTATTAAAATTATTATATGAAATTATTTATAATAAATGCAAATGTATTTATTCCAATTTAATAGATCATAAAGTGAAAAGCTGGCATATGTTTTGTGCAATGGGAATTATTCTTGTGATCATTGTCTTGTCAAATAGTAACTTGCATTCATTATGGTATGAGAATGCTTAACATTGTTGAGTAGCTTTTTTAATTCAGTGACGAGAGAAGTTATAGCAATAGCGTTTATTTTTCCTTGTTATTCAACAAATGAATATTGATGTGCAATGGGAATTATTCTTGTGATCATTGTCTTGTCAAATAGTAACTTGCATTCATTATGGTATGAGAATGCTTAACATTGTTGAGTAGCTTTTTTAATTCAATGACGAGAGAAGTTATAGCAATAGCGTTTATTTTTCCTTGTTATTCAACAAATGAATATTGAAATTTTTTCTCTTATTATGTGACTAATATGGTGCATTTGTACTAAAAAAAAATATGGTGCATAAAAAGTCTTGAGAAATTTTTATTGGCAATATATTGTTTATTAAACATGTTTATCATCAACGTATTATCAGTGCTACGATTATACCAAAAAAAATGTAGCACATCATTAGAGACAACAAGCATAACGAGGAATAACATAAATTAATCATCCGTTAACAAGCACAACCATAAATCATCTGTTAATCATGAAGAAAAATAATATAAGGAGAAATGACAAAACTCGATAAAATATACGAGAGTCGAAAAAGAACATATCTTGGCTTTGAGAAAATGTGAAGGTAGATTGTGAGACACTGCAATAAAGAAATCTAATGCAATAAAGAAATCTCAGGGGTTAAGGTGAGATTGTGAAAGAGATATGCTATTTATATTTTTCACTAAAATGTCTCACAAAATTCACACTAATAGAAAATTCATTAAAATCGTTAAAATTTTGAATACCACAAGATTATTTTTCCTTTGTTTAAAATCCTGATTGAATACAACCGAATTTGGACGAACTCTGAAATAATCTTTTACAATCCTAATCGAATATCACGTGACTTTTTTATAATACTTTAAAATCCTAATTAAATATCAATTGATTTTTTTTATCTAAAAATAATCCATTAAAATATTTTAAAATCTCAATCCAATAAATCCAGAAGTTTTGTTTTTATGTGTTACGTGTTAGTGATCGGGGACAATGAAAGGGAGCGTTGTCAGCAATCATGGTTCCAACTATTTTCATTTTGTTCCATGCTCAATGTTAAGTCCAACTAACACTAGGTTCATCATTGCTAAGCGTTTAATTCTGGGTCTGATAATACTTCGGATAAATCATCCTTTCTATGTCACTCTTAAAGTTCTATTGATTTCCGGATATGAATTAGATGAATTTGTCACAGACTGAATGAACTACTAAGGAGTAAGGACCCAATTTGAATGTGCTAAGTGCATTTGTTCAGTCCTAATTAAAATTCACCAAACTCGTCTGAAATAGTTTATGAGGAAAACAAAATTTATCTATCAGTTTTCTTATGTTTTCAGTTAATCTGTTTAGTTTTAAATTTAAATTTAATATAATTTAATTCAAAGAAATTTGAAGTAAATCGGTTGTCATTTTATTTTTTTATTTTTATTTTTTCAAGGAGGCAATAAATAAACTCTGATTATATATATATTTTTTCTTTTTTATGTACAAAATCGTCTCTTTTGCAATGAAGATTTTTTTAAAAAGTAGAATAGTAATTAAGATTTCAAGTGTATTGTTTCTAAATGCTCAATATTATAGTTTTTGTGTTAATTCTTGTTAAATAAATCTTTCAGGCACATTAGATATCTTCTTTGATCATTCCTTGTATAATATCAATTTTATGTATTAATTTATCAAGGGACAAGATCCGTTTATAATTTTTTTTTTTGAAATTACATTAATGTAGAACCGGTCGTACACTGTGTGATTAATGTAGGATCGGTCTTACATAGTGTAGTTTGTAAGAGTTTGTAAACAAAAAAGTTTATAAATATAACCTGTCCTATTTATCAATAGTAATAACTTTTGAGAGGACATGGGAAAACACAAGGTAGGTTTCTTCCATATCTGGGTGTGAGTGCGGAAAAACAGCTTTTATATTTTCTTGCTCCTCTCATGGTTATCACAGAATTCATTAATATGTAAAAATTGAAAATAAATTCTCTTATATGTTATTTAATATGACCATGTCACGTGAGAGAACTATAATCATAAGATGAATCAACATTGATGATTTTATAATACTTATCTCATTAATATATTTTCTCTCTCTTCTTCTTTCGTTACCGTTGATTCAATTTTATATAATTATGATTTCTTTACGTGACATGGTCATGTTAAATGGTCAAAATTAGAGGGCTAAAAAGTGTTCTTCAACGGGTGCATCTTTTGTATGTGGAATAAGTAGAAACTAGGAATCTTTCTCAAGGAAAAACAAGCACGGGTTCTCCAGAAGCAGGAACTGGCTTAACGAAGGGAGAGAGTGAGAGACAGCTTTGGAAATATAAACATCACGTGTGACTTGCTTCCAACATAAACATTTTTGTCATCATCATCACTCAATATAGAAGTCAGCAAGTGCCGTTAGAGAAAAAACGGAAGCAGAATATTCGTTTTTCACATGCAGGGGCCGGGGCTCAATTTAAAAGTTTAGCCATCAAAGAAGCTTGTGAATTGGGGACTACTGATTAAATAACTATGACATGAGTTTCTTTACTCTTTAATGTTGTTGTTTTTATCGATCCAAATTTAATCACTCACATGGAGGAAGGAGGAGATTGGGGAACAACTCCTTTAATGATCAACAATACAAACCATGACGGATACGGCAAATAAAATAAGCAATTAATACGCAATTTAATCTAAGACACATTTTTAAGTTCTCATTTATTTAGCTTTATACGGGTTGACTTTGGGGTTTTGTGAGGGATAACGAGAGATGTTATAGAAGGCACCCCTTAATTGTTCTTGAGAGGTGTATAAAATTTAAATAAAATAAAAAAAGAGAAGGAAAAAAAGACATGCTAGTTGCACATCTTTAAAGATTACGTACGTCTCCTCCATGTCTAGAATATGTGATATAAATAGAGTTTAAAGTGAATAAAAAAGTGGTGAAACCATTTATAATTTGATGACAAAACTGTTTAGATGTTAGGTGATTTACGTGTGTTTAGCATTATTTAAAAAAAGGAAAAAAGATGGGTATGTATATAAAGGTTAGGATCGATCAACCTATCGTTATAAGCTTCTGATCATTTGATAGTCACTCATTAAATAATGAATGTTCTCTGTTCTTAATCAGTTTGGATCCAAAAAATAACTGTTAAAGAACCACTTCAACCCAAAACCTGTGGGGGACGGTGAGGATCGAACTCGTGATCTTGTGGTCACTTAAGCTCTGATACCATGTTAAAGAACCATATTTTAATACTTTATATTTTATTCTCTAACAATAACAATATTACGCATATTCTTGCTTGGATCAAATTCTTGCTTGGATCAAATGTTGATGTCGCTTTTAGGGGAGAGGGGGGACATAAGGAAAGTAAATGGCTTTACTGGAGTTTTAGTTTGGGAAGGGGGAAAAATGATATTTATGCATCAAAGTTCTTACATTATTTTCAACTTGTTTGAAAAAAATATAAAGCAAAAAGATCAGTATATTGAATATGAATTTTTTATTTTATTATCCATTCCACAGTATAAGTGATCTAAGGCTTATTTAGATCTTTCGATACGCAAATATTTTTGATGTGAGGGTATGGACATTATTGGTGTGACTTTATGAAAATATACAACAACAAAAGATAAAGCTGCCGCCCTTGGATTGTTATTATGTGAGGAATGATTACTACAGCTATGTATAATATAAATATATATACACACACATAAATATAAGCAATAACCAATGAGTCTCATAGATTATATGTGCTTATTGATAAAATAAAAAAAAGTGTGTTGCTGATCACGAGCAATACTTATTATTATTATTGACATATTCCAATCAATTTATCGTTCTGTGACTAGTCTAATTCAGGACAGGTCCTGAGATTAAGGCTTTAAAATCATCTCAAAAATAATATTAAAGAAAATTAAACACATAATCTTATGTCACCTGCTCAGGATTTATTATTCTAGAAACGGTACTTTCTCAATCTTCTTTTAGCATAACCTGAATATGTATTTGACTATTTGACCCGGTATTAAAATAGAGCTGTAGTATATATAACTCTTAGATGAAGAATCTTACTTGCATGTAGCCACTCTAATTGTGCAAAATTTATAATAAAATAATTATGTAAATTATCAAAAAACGTGAATGGCATAATCGGTATTGAACTGAATTTTACTATTGTGAATAATGAATCATTTACAAGGCAACTCCCAAACAGGGGTGGACCTACATGGGTTAGGGTGGGCCCCCGCCCTCCTCTAAAATATATGAAAATATGTTCTACTATATGATATGTAATATTGTCTGTAAAAACAAAATTTTGAAAATGTTTTTAAAAAGTAAAAGACAAGCGATGCTATTCATAAAAAAAATGTTTCATCCGTTCATTACACCCAATTAGAGATAACTATTATTTACCAGATTTAACCTGCCAGCATATATGGTAGGTTTTGTTCTTGGTCTGCTACCCTCCCCAGTCAATGTGGAAAGTTGACTTCTCCGTTGTATACAAAGAAGAGTTCAGTTAGTAATACATATTCACTCTACCTATCAAATTTGTTTAGAATTTGATTTTATATTGATTGATTATCTAATTTTCTTTTTATAATCATTAAAAATTTGTACAGATTGTTATGTCAGAATTCAAGAGAAGAGTATTTAAGTTTTGACTTTGTTAGCAAAGAAAAAAGATTAATAATAGTTATCAATTATTAGTTGGGACCAAATGCTAAAGATAAATAACACATTAATTAATTTATTGTGTCTTATGCTAAATAACAGCTAAGTGAGAAAATAAGATTCTGAAAAATCAAAGAAAGTGCAATTATAACACCAGAAAGCATGAATGTAAACAATAAAAAATTGATCTTACAAACATAATATAAGGTCTTAAGGCTAGTTCCTCATTGAAATATAGGGTGTATTGGATCATTGTCACCAGAAGCAAAAAATTGACATTCCAACCAAAAAATTATGTAATTTTATTAGGTTATTCTTAATATGTATTTTTGTATTCTTGGTGTGATCATCCAACCAAAAATGACATTGTCTTTTTATAATAGTAATATAAATTTTCGTCTCCCATCATATAATTTCCTGGGTCCGCCACTGCTCCCAAATATATAGGACTGCTAATAATGATACAGAAAGAGGATGAGGATAAGCTAAGTAATGACTTCTCTAACCAAATAACCGAGTTTAACAGACTAACAAACTTGGAACTAAAGCAGTTGCTATCTATTGTGATTGCTTGCACGTGCATATACTAACGCTACTGTATGAGTTGACGTGTCTATCATATCAAGATTTGAGAGGACTCTTGTGTTATCCCCAGCAAGTGGGACGTAGAAGATTGACAACGCTCAACTTGAAAATCATGGATCTGAACGAAGATGCAACCAAGGGCTTGGTGAAGACATTTGCCAATTGAGCAGAAGATGAAACTGGAGTAAACGAAGCTGTCCAGAAATTATTTTCTCACGAGTAATATGACAATCTAGTTATATGTGCTTAGATCTGTCATGAAAGATGGGATTGTGAGCCAAGTAAATGGCTGATCTATTATCATAATAAACAGAAGCTGGTTTATCCCAAGGTATCTGGAGATCATGAAACAAGAACCTATAGCCACTGCAATTCATACGACAAACTTGCTAGAGCTCGATACTCCGCCTCCGTTGAAGATCGAGATACAGTGCATTGCTTTTTGCTTTTCCACGCAACAAGTGATGAGCCAATGAATACGCGGAAGCCAGTGACAGACCGTCGAGTGTCAGGACAACATGCCCAGTCAGCATCTGCAAAGGCACGAACAGAAAGGGTGCCCGTGTAAGAAAAACACAAACCAGCAGCTGGAGAAGATTTGAGATAGCGCATAATCTGGTGAGTTGCGAGCATATGGAGGTTTGTAGGACAAGATACAAACTGAGAAAGCTGGTGGACGGCGAAGCAAATGTCCAGACGTGTAGTGGTCAAGTATAGCAATCGACCAATAAGGCATCAATAAAGAGTTGCATCAGAGAAAGCCACACCTTGAGTACGCCTAAGCTTAACAGAAGGGTCCATTGGGGAAGAGACAAGCTTGGCAGCCAAAAGACCAGCATCAGAGATTAATTCAAGCGCATATTTGCGTTGATTAAGGAAAATTCCTTTGTCAAAGCATGCGACTTCGAGGCCCAAGAAATAGCATAATTGCCAAGATCCTTAATCTTAAACTGGAGGTCAAGGAATTGTTTCACACGATTAATCTCTGCAATTGAGTTGCCAGAAAGAATAATATAATAACCCTTACTAGTAATTGTGAATTTAATATCGAAGAATAATTAGAAGTAAAAAAAATAAAGTCACATTTGGTGAAAAAGGAGTTAAAATGACAGTTAAGGAGTAAAAATGCGAATAAATAAAGTTACCTGAAAGTAAAAGTAAAATTATAAATATTACCATAAAAATATTCTGGACTAGTGTGCATAGTTTGGTATGGAATGGAGGTGTGTAGATAAATAAACTTTTACTCAGTTGAATTTAACACTACCTATATAAGTGAAACTTCAACAAAAAAAAAAGGATACACCTCGTCTTCTTCTTCCTCTAGGACAGAACCGTGGCCTTGGTGTGCTTCCAGGGCTAGGAATTCATTTCTTCTACAAGCTATTTCCACACAATGTGCATTTCATAAAAATTGTAGTGCAACCTCTTGTGATAAAAACCCAAGCCTCCTTTCTCTTTGGGAAGCATTGAATCAAGAGATCTCCTCTCCTTTCCATTTTCGTGTACTGTTCATGGCTGAAGAAAAAAATGATTTTTTGCTATGATTTAAGCTTGAAGATTAACATTTGGTTGGTGTAGGACTTATCCAAGGTAAGAAACTCCATTTGTAATTGTTGAATCCTTGAATTTAAGCTTTAGGTTTTCATGAAAATATTGTTGGAATTTTGTATGTTGAAGAGTATGAATGGTAGTATGTTTTGATGATGAAATATCTATATTGATGTTTGTGGGTTGATTAAATTAATTAGAAGTCAAGAAAGCATGAAAAGATTGCATGAGTTTCCTAACCTATTGTCGGCCATGAAGAGAAAAGCACGCTTGAAATGTGTTCAATGTTGTTTCAATGATGCTTATGAATCCTTAGATATGTTGGTGTTGAATGGATTAATTAGTTAAACTTGGAAGAACCCTTTTGTACCATTTTCAGCCATGTAGAAAAAAAAGGCATGTTGAAAGGTTGTTAGCGTTGCTTTGATAATGGGTAGTGTATATTGATTGATGTAATGTACCATGGATGCAAGTATAAACAATGGAAAACATAAAATCCCATAGAATCCCTATAGGTGCATTTTCGGCCCTTTGAAGCAAAAAAAATCATTTGAGAATGTGTTTGATCATGGTTTAGGGATAGTATTTTGCCACATTTTATTTTAATAAAACGTGTTGTATTTCAATGTATTAATTGATGAGTTAAGAAGTGAAATGGCTTGAGAAATTGTGAAAAATACCATGATTCCCTAAGGGTATGTCCGCGACCTTTTGAAGTAAAATGGCATGACTTATATAGAAAATTCTCAAGTGGATACTTGATTAAATTAAAGAACACTAACGATTATAAATTGGTCTAGACTTGTGTAATGGCATAGGATCGGCAAAAACGTAAAGAAATGAAAATAAGCGTTAAAATGTATGTCTTATGTAAGGATCATGGCATAGTATCATTTTATTGATTTTGTTGTGCATTCTTCTCTAGGTGTGCCTACGGATTGAAAAGGAGTGGAATCTTGTTAAAGCGATATAAGTAACTTGTGCAACAAGTAAGCGTATTGGTAAAGCTTCAAGAGGTAAGCTCTATGTTTAAGGAGTCTTTTCCTGCTTGAGTGCTCCACCATGGTTAGTGAACTATGGTTGGACTGTACGACTGTTGTTTAGATGCTTGTATAGATGCATTCATATAGAGTTATTTGATAACATGATATAACTTGTTCTGATATGAATTCTGTATTGATGGTATCGTACACTGATGTCTTCTTGGGGTTTCCCAGAGATTGACGATGTACACCTATGACATGTTCTGGTTCCGCTTGAGGTCCTCCCTTGGGAACACGTTCGTTGATTTTCGCTTGGGGTCTTCCCTTGGGAATGACGGCGCACGCCTCTGATATGATATGGATATATGCTTTGTTCTATTGGGAACACATGCGTTGATTTCCGCTTGGGGTCCTCCCTTGGGAATGACGGCGCACACCTCTGATATGATATGATATGATATGAAATATGTTTTGTTCTGTTATGATATCTGTTATAAATGCATTTGTATACTCTGTATCTGACTTTCGTGCAGGAGTGAGCTAGGGGTATGGAGAATTCTCTATAAACCTGGAGCTTATTGAGATTTGTAATCTCACCCCTCTTTGGGGACATATTTTCAAGTGTCCAGATTCCCTGTGAGTCCTCACTAGGCAGGGACGCGACCCGTGGCTGAGACGTTGGGACAGATCAGCCTTTTGAGTAGCTGTAGGCTACTAACCTTTTGGAGTGCATTTATGTCATTTTGTATTTCCGCATTTGATGGATCATGATATTGATCCTTTATTTTGTATATGTTTTGTATATGTCTATCAGTTTGATGTATGTACACTAGGGTATTCAGGCACGTTATATGATGATGTATTATTCAGTTTATGATTTCGTGTTGGATTGCATGCTGATTAGGTATAGTGGCACAGAGCCATATTATGCATGCGCTCATGGATGGGTATCTGATTATATTTGCATGACTGGTACTTCTGGATTGATGTGCTGTATAAACTGTTTATCAGGAAATGCTTCTGAGTGGGATTGGAAAATCCCCAGTTGTCCGATTTATAGAGGAAACTCTGCCCGATTTTCGTTTACGCCGAGTAAGAATTAAAGTAGAAAAAGAAAAAGTTAGCTCGTATTTTCGTAAGTTAAGTCTTCCGCTGTTTATGTTTATATCATATGCATGTTAATTGAACCGGTTCGAGACGAGGATGTGACAAATAACATCATCCACGTATACTAGTAAGACAGTAAATGAAGTGGCAAATGCAAAGGTAAACATAAAGTGGTCTGCATAAGCTTGCTTGTACGCAAGAGAAATAAGAGCAGTGGACAACTTGACATACCACTGTCGGCTTGCTTGTTTCAACCCATAAAGGGATTTTTGAAGCTTGCAAACGAGATTGGACCTGGCATTATGGACTGTGAGACCTTGAGGCAACTCCATGTAAACATCTTCATGGAGATCACTATGCAAAATTGAAATGTTTATGTCCAACTGAGCAAGATGCCACCCCTTTATAGCAGCCATGACAAGGAAGGTGCGAATAGACGTAAGCTTAGCGATTGGGTGAAGGTATCAAAGTAATCAACCTCCTCCATTCGGGTGAATCCCTTAGTGACTAAACGCGCTTTAAAGCATTCCATAGAACCAACCATCCGAATGTTATTTAACTTTGTATACCCACTTGCAACCTATGGGTTGCTTACCTTGGGGTAATGTAACCAGAGACCATGTATCATGAAGCGACAAGGCATATAGCTCAGCCTGCATAGCTTTTATCCAATAATCGTGCTTAATAGCTTGGGAATAGGAACGAGGTTCAATATGAGCAGATGAGTTAAGGCAAAAATGTTTGTATGAAAGACAACAAATATCATACGATACAACAGAAGACAAGGGATGAAAAGGAACATACAAACCTGGAAATGACGAGTTGTGCTGAGCGACAGAAAGGTCATAGTGATAGTCCATCAAGTATTTTTGCTGACTAGATATGGGTTGTGAAGGATAGTCTAAGTCAAAGGAAATGGTGAGATTAGGAGGGAGTGTGTAGGATTTTGGTGAGATCAGGAGGTATATATATAGAAAGAGAGAATTTTTTTTTGATACATAAAGAGAGAATCTTACAAAAAAAAAAACCCCATAATTAAGAATTTTGTTATCTCAAAGTCGAATTTATAATCAACATTTTATATAACAAAATATTTACCAATGAAATATATATATATATATATATATATATATATATATATATATATATATATATATGGAAGGAGTTATGACAAAAATTTTTTCTTACAAACTACACTAAGTTTATCTAGTTAGACTTCAACCAAGAGTATATGACTATATGACTAGTCAGACTTAGTGTAGTTTGAAAGAAAATTTTTTTGTCAATATAACCTTTCCCTATATATATATATAAAATTTAAAATTATCTTTTAAATAATAAATATATTATTCCCTATAGAGTTTAATATAAATAATTTTATAATAACATCAAAGGCATGATCAACGAAATGTCATCACAAAAAATAGTGAAAAATATATAAGCGATGCCTATTTTATGTTTAGACAAATTAAAAAATTGTTTATGCAATTAGTGAAAAATAATGACTTATGCATAAGACATTATTTCCATTATTATTTTATTTTTCTTTTTGGTGAAAGTGATCACTGTTTCCCATTTTGTCAAAACGAAAAATTGTATGCCAAAAATGTTGGGAATGCAACGAGGGAGCCCAAAACCCTTTGCAAAGGGTACATCCACCAATGGGTCAAATGACAAACCATAATAAGTGGGCCGACACCACATCTCAACCCAAAACCTTAAGGCTGTAGGTTTATGGGTCTTTTGCACTTATATGGTCATCACTTGGTCTATGTCTAGTCTATGTGATACTTCTTTACAACTCATACTTAATTATTTTCAAAAAAAAAAAAAAAAAGGGTAGAGAAAGAAAAATAAAATCTGCAGTCCGCTTTATTCTTCATACTGAAAAAATGCAAGAAAATTTTTAGATTTGAAATTTTCATCCACGAATTGAGATAGAAAACCCCTGGTATATAGATATAAGATATG